ACACAAGTTCAACTTCACAACGAAGGGACGGCTGGTTGTCAACAAACAATTTCCCGGTTCCAGAGCCAATTTCAACTTCACGACGGAGGATATTGGACTCAGAACAATGTTACTTACTTGGATTTCAACTTCACGACGAAGGATATCCAATTTCAGGCTCAACTTCACGACGAATGGGCCACCCGCGGTTACAACTTCACGACGAAAGGGAATCGTGCACACAAGCATCATCCATCTTTAGATTGGATTTCAACTTCACGATGAAGGATATCCAACTCAAAGAAGGAGTATCTGTCAACAAAGACCTTCGAGTTCGACTACGCTCAGCTCCAAGGCACATCATTTACAGCATAACCCAAGGCTAGAAGGGTTATATGCCATCAAAATTGTCGAGTTCGATTCCATTCAGCTCAATGACACATCAATCGCACTACTTTCCGGTTGCAGTCGAGGTTTTCAAGTCGAGAAGAGGACCTGGTTTAACCGTGCTTTAGTGACAAGCAACCATTTTCAAGTAAAAGTTATTTGTCAATGAAGATTTCTGAGTTCGATTCCGATCCAAGGTCTTTAAACCGAGAAGAAGACTGAAGGGCAACGAGAAGCCACGTGCTGATTCAAATTCTGAACTACGACTTCAATTTCATATCATTTCAAGATGAACTCGGCTTCACGACGGAGGAGTCATCCGTAACTCAATTCGACAGGGAATTATTGAAACATCAGAGTCAATTTTCAACTCCACCGAACGAAAAGTGTGTCTTTTAATCTTTGCCCTATCCCCGTTACACGACTATGGGCAAAGAGGGGCAGCTGTCAACACACATTTTTGTCCTACTAGGATTCAAACTCCTAAAAATAGGATAGAATTTTGCTAGGATTTAAACTCCTAAAAATAGGATAGAGTTCTACTATGATTTAAACTCCTAAAGATATGATCCACAAGCACTATAAATAGTCATTGTAACTCACTATTGTAAGACACGATTTACAGACAAAATACAGAGGAAAACACGGAAAATACAAAGGCAAAGATATTGTAAACGATTCGAAGTAATAAAGGTGAAAGCTTTTTTTATCTTTCGTTTGTTTCTCTTTACTCTTCACTTGCATGCGTTGTTAATCGTGTTTTCTTTGGAGAATCCCAAAGACAAATGCTTTAGCCGATGACCCAGAGGGAGTTTTTTCGAAACTTTGATTTCAGATCTACGCTCCCTAGAGGCTATTTCGCAAAAACAAATTACATTTTTGGAATGAGAGTACAAAAATCTATCAAAAAATGAAAACTTTTTATTTTTTCCGGTTTTAATCTTCAATGTTCTTTGACATTTACCCACTTAATTTACATTCCTTTCATTTTAATCCCTTAATTAGTTTATATATATATATATATACATACTTGCTAATTTTATTTTTAATTTATCACTTTTTTAATTTTTCTCTATTTATATACGTTATTACCCATATATATATATTTATTTTCTTTGCATTTTTTTATTACTATTATATTTATTATTATTTTTACTATTATATTTTCCTTTTATTCTACTTATTTATATTATATATGTAAATATTTTATATTTTATTATTATTATATTTTTTACTTTCTCTTTCTTTTTATTATTCTTGTATTATTACTTGTATTATTTTTATATTATTTATTTTGTTATATATATATATGTGTATGTTCTTTTTAAATATTTTAGTTTTTATACCTATTATTAATATATATTTGGTTTTTTTATTTTAAGTGCTATAATTTATAATATTATACATATATTTTTCTATTAATTTTTTATTATTTTTATTTATTATATTATATTATATTATTTTATATATTTTTTATTATATATATATATATATATATATATATATATATATATTCTACACAAGTTAATTATATCTACATACTTTGTTCCCACCCCTCATCATTTTTTTCTTCCTGTCAATTATACTTCACCAAACCTTACTTTCTTTTCTTCCCTTTTCGGTGTGATTGTCTTTTTTTAACTATTTATTATCATTATTAGTATTGTTACTATATATATATATATTGTAATTATCTTTATTTGTTTTTTTTACCATTATATGTGTATATGTTCTTTTCGTCATTTAATTTATTAATTTTTATATATATACTTTTTTATTTATTTTATATATATATATTTTTCGTACTTTGTTTTTTTGTTTTATTTATTTTCTTTTTTTATATATATATTTTATTATTATTATTTTTCTACTTACTATTTTATCTTTGCTTTCTTCATTTTATCATTCTACTTAATTTGTTTTCTTTTCATTTTAATTTAATTAATTAATTTCTTACCATTTTATCTAACATGGTTTTTTTACTTTCTTACGGGTACATTTTCAATCAATCAAATGTAAGTTTTGGATCGTTATTTTACCTTTCAATTTAAACTTTCAACTTTCTTAATTAAAGACAACTGGAAATTACATAGTACCGAAAGGGCAGTTCAAGGGTGCTAATCCTTCCTTGACCGTAACCGACTCCCGGATCCGACATATCACTGGTAAGACGAGGATCAGGTAAGAAATAAGGTATCCGATCAACACACTTTTCGTAAAGTAAATGATCGGTGGCGACTCCCAATCCATTTTTCACGTCGAAGCCCAATTCCGGGGCACAACCGAAAGACGGTTGCGACACCTTGAGTATGACCCCAGTTAGTTTCTATGATTCAGGGAAGTTTTCTTCACTTAAGCAGGCATTCAAGATCCTAGCTGGTTTTGATTGTTCCTCTACCACCCTTACAATTGAGCAAAAAAATCAGTTGTTGACGGTGGAGGAAAGCTTGAAAGAAGTAGCTGATCGAGCAGCGAAAGCAGTACAGGACAAGAGCCTACTTACTGAGAATGAATCAATCAAACTGACGATTACTCGTAATTTGGATCGCAATATAATCAGATATTAGGAGGTGAAATCGGAGGTGAAACAGGTAGAGCAAAAACTTTCAGCCCTGTTGGCTGAACGAAAAGGGATATTCATAAGTTCCAAGGAAATGAAAGAGGAGTTGGAAGCATTGGGAAAGAAATATGAGGGCAATGCCAAGGCAGTCGAGGAGGAAGATAGAACCATCGAGACAGAATGGGGAAGAATGAAGGATTTCATCACATCTATAAAAGGAAAGATCTAAAATCTGTTACTAGTATTAGGTTGTTTAGAGCAAAGACTTTAATGGTCCTTTTTGGTGGAATTAAACGATGCAATGAACCTTCTGTGTTGGGAAATAAACCGAGTACAAGTAATTTTCCAATAACCAGATTAGTGAGAATGCAAAATAAAAGCGGAAAAATAATACCCGAAATTGATAACGGAGTTCAACCAATTTTTGCCTACGTCTCCGGACTGCTGCAGATTTTTTACTAAAGAGAGAAAATTTACAAGTGTTTACAAAACACTCACTATTCACAAGAGAACTCTCTAAACTCTTTAGTATTGGGAGAAAGAAATTGATTTTGGGATGATTTTAAAGCTAAATGAGCTAGGGTATTTATAGTTGAAGCTTAGGGACTCTTTGAAAATACCCTAAAGTGCAATGACTAAATGTGTGATTAACCCAAGCCTAAATTCAACAAAATTAGGCAGCCCATGTTTTCTTCATTTAGTCGCCAGCTGTCACTAAACTTCAACAATTGTGGCTGCCAAACATTTGTTTTGTCTTTACTTTTCAACTTCAACAATCTCCCACTTGAAGACTGATTTTAATCTGTCTTCATACCTCGATCAATGCAACAATATTTCTGGTCTTTTACTCTAGCATGCCAACTGAAGCTGAACACAACTTTAGTTCCACTGATCTTTTCAAGTTTCAAAATCCCATCTTCCAGAAGAGACCGGATAAAATGATATCGCAATTGTATGTGCTTCGTTCTGGAATGAAAAGATGGATTCTTTGCTAGGTGGATAGCACTTTGACTGTCGTAATACAAGACATTGTTTTCTTGTTTCTTGTCTAACTCTTCCAAGAAACTTTGGAGCCAAACCATCTCCTTGTTGGCTTCCGTAACAGCGACATATTCTGCTTCAGTTGTGGAGAGAGTAACTATCTTCTGTAGTTGAGAAACCCAACTCACTGCGGTTCCTCTTTGGAGCCAAGGGATATTCATAAGTTCCAAGGAAATGAAAGAGGAGTTGGAAGCATTGGGAAAGAAATATGAGGGCAATGCCAAGGCAATCGAGGAGGAAGATAGAACCATCGAGACAGAATGGGGAAGAATGAAGGATTTCTTCACATCTATACAAGGAAAGATCTAAAAACTGTTATTAGTATTAGGTGTTTAGAGCAAAGACTTTTATGGTCCTTTTTGGTGGAATTAAAAGATGTAATGAACCTACTGCTGGTTTATCTTTTGGTAGCTGCTGGTTTATCTTTTGGTAGCTGATGCTACTGTAGAATCTGTGTATGAAACTCTTGTTTAATTTGTGAGTCTCCCTTTATCCGCAAAATATTACATATGTATTTCTATGTTGTATCGTTGAGTTGTGTGGTGGTGAAAAACCCTACCATAAGTTCAGGTCATTTGTTTCACGGAAAATAAATTTCGAAAAATAAATTCCGTAAAATAAATTATATTTCCTAGAAAGTATTTTTTTTAAATCATTTTACGGTGTTTGAATGATGTTGTAGCTAAATTTTTTAAAAATTCCTTATTATAAACATCAAATGCAATGAACAATTTATTTTCTAGTTTCTCCAATCACACTGCTTCACAATTTATTTTATCCATTCACTATTCTTTTCAACATTGTTTTATTCTTTTCATAAAATTACGAATATTCAATCTACTGATTGATTAATTCAAATCGAGTTATAAAAAATACAACTCACCCTATTTTTTCCGTTTACAATATCAAATTTCAAATAAAAATATCAAGAAATACAGATTATGCATTATAGGAAGAGAAAAATATCAAGAAGCATGAATATACAAATTGAATGTCATAAAAACATAGATAATAAAAATACAGAGAGAAAAAATAACAAAGTTAAAGGACAGTTGGACAGTTGATAGTCCATGAAAGCACAGATTCCTTTCGGTACAAAGTATAAAACATGGTGGAAGAGAAATTTAATAGCATAAAAAGGTGGAAGAAAATGGCCAAGTGCTCCATGCAAAGACATGCATGTTCTTTGCATATCACAATGGCTACTCCCTTACTATACAAATCTCAGTTCCCTCAAAAACTTGCCTAAACTTTTAATGCTTCCCTAAATTTGATGCTAAAGTTATTTTGTAGGCCTTTCTTACCGGCACCTGCAATATTCCCGCCCTGCATCATCGCTACAAACTCATTGTAATCTATGCGTCCGTCCTGCATATGAACCGTAAAAATACAATATTAGTGGATAATGGCATATTGGCAACAAAGTTCTTTTCATGGTTCTCTTTTTGAAGTGAAGGATTTGGTTATATCAATGGATGCATTTAGGGAAAGGGATATGATCCCTTTCTTTCTTCCAGCCAACTATACGATGAAATAATCGAATTAAAATTAAAAATAAAACAAAATCACTTGCATTATCTTGATCAACTTCTCTGATCATTTCTTCAAGCCGAACATCCTCTATGCCAAACTCCTCACAAGCTTGTTGGAGCTCGTCCGGAGTGATGTAACCGCTGCCATCCTTATCAAAATAGGAAAAGGCGGCAAATAGATGGTCTTCCTTCTCGATTTTGTTTAGGTGAAGTGTCGCAGCTACGAATTCCCCGTAGTCGATCGTGCCACTATTATCAACATCAGCCTGTATGGTTGAAGAAATTTGCATTAGACACAACTTGTCATTGCTTATTCCCTATTAATACAATATTATGTACAGAACAAAGATCATAATTTGGGTCTTATTCTTACTGCTTGCATAAGATCATAAATTTCAGACTCTTTAAGATTAGCTCCAACTCGTTTTAATCCTGCTTTAAGTTCTTCGAAGGTGATCTGCCCACTGCTGTCGGCGTCTATCATCTTGAACATTTCTTTCAAGCCAGCTATCTCTTCTTCAGATAGGCTCTCAGCGATTACCTGCAAGGGGGGAAAAAAGCAAAATAACAGATCAAAATAACTAGAAAATCTAAAGAACGAAGTTTTAAACATAAACATTATGATGAATGGGTTTCGTACGGAGTATCCACCATAGTGTCTAATCATAGCATGTCCAGAGACTTACTCTAAGGGCCATTTTCTTCAGCTTATTCATTGCAGAAAATTGCTTCATACGACTTAAAACAGCAGAATCGAGAGGCTTGTCAGGAGCAACACCATCAATCTGTATCCAAGGGTGGCCTGCATAGGTTTTGAGCAATAGTAGCAACAGAAAAATTGATAATCGTCGTCTTTTGCTTCTTGGAGCAAACAGAAAAAAGGTAAAAACAATAATGAAATGGAGACTTAATAAATCCTAAAAGTTCTATGGTAACAAAAAACCTGGACCGGAGTAAAAGAATGCGACTTACACAAAACTTCATGTGCAGTTAACCGTCTCCTAGGGTCTCGAATGAGCATTCTCCTCACCAAATCTTTTGCGCTTTCAGAGATGCTAGGCCAAGGATCAGAATCAAAATCAAGGTCACCATGCAAGACCTCTTCAAATATACCTTGCTCGTTTTCTACATCATGACCGTGAAGATCGAAACATAATCATGATGATGTAAACAAATGGGCAGCTAAAATAATTGCACTTGGCTAAATTAAAAATAGAGAAAATCTTATGAATCAGAAAATTCCTTACCTGCCCAAAAGGGAGGAACTCCACTTAAGAGAATGTAAAGAATTACTCCTGCACTCCATACATCTGCTTCTGGACCATAACGCTTTCGTAAGACTTCAGGGGCTACATAGTATGGGCTTCCGACCACATCTGTGAATCTTTCACCTGCATTGAAATGATGACCAAGAGAGTGTTAAATAAAAGCACATCTTCACTTAATTCCTCTACCGGTGATGGCAAATCACATGCGGGGTCAAACTTTTTAGGTATTTTTGCTATATTGACAATGCAAACTGAAAATCAAAGCATAAATAAAAGCTCTTTAAATAAACATTTTACAAGCAAACCAAAGGAAAGCTAATAGCAGAATATCATCTTAGAGCTAGCAGCATTTCATGGCACCCAAGTTTCACAAATCATTTGAAATGTAATGTCTACAACTGATAGAACATATTTTTGTAATTTTACAAGGCATTTTAATGCAATATCACATTTATGAAAGGAATTACTTGCATGAATAAGCTCTCCCTGGCAAAGAATTTCTTAATTTTGAACCATGCAGTTTCAAACGGAAAATGAAGACTGAATTTGAAAAGACTTGGTTAGCTTGAGCATATACAAGGGGGAATATAAATTGAGCAATTACACACTTGACTCAAGTATTTTATCCTCCATTTGTTCTCTTTCTTATTGTTGGGTAATCAAAGAGAATAAGATCAAACAGCCTATACCTGGTTTAAAGAAAATCGATAATCCAAAATCAATAGCCTTGAGAAGCGAGTCCTCCTGCTTATTGACAAAAAGGAAATTCTCAGGTTTGAGGTCTCTATGCATAACTCCCAAAGAATGGCAAGCTTCCACAACCCCGACTATAGTCCTCGTAAGTGCAGCTGCCTTTCTTTCTGTATAATGTCCGCGCTGAATAATTCTATCAAAAAGCTCTCCACCAGCACACAACTCCATAACGACATGAACTGCCACGGCATCCTCATAAGCTCCTTTTATAGATATAACATTTGGATGCCCAGCCAAGTGGTGCATTATCTGAATTTCTCTTCTCACATCCTCTACATCCTCATCAGTTAATAACTTCCTCTTTGCAATCGATTTGCAAGCATACTCTTTTCCAGTTGACTTCTCCACACAAAGGAAAGTCGTCCCGAATTGCCCTTGTCCTAGTTTTCTCCCCAGGCTGTAATGTTCCTTGAAAATACCAGTCCTCGTTTGTAATACTGATTCCTTGAGCCCGGCACTGGACACCCTCTTCATATGAGGGAGCTTGGGTTTGACTGGTTTTTCGGGTTCAGTTTCCAGTTTAGCCTCTTGTTTGATCTCCGGTTTTGGCATTGTCACTTGCTCTGGAGGTTTGTTTAGGACTGGTAATGGCAATTCAGGCTCTCTAGCTGCAATCTCGCTCCTGGTTTCCCCATTAGAATGAGAGACCGATTCATCTGGTGATCGAGACCGCCACATTGCTGCCGAAACCGATTGGAAAAACCCATTTTTGGAAATGCTTGGTCCTACACAAGTATTCCCCATCTACTCTCACACTAGAAATTCCTACTTCAAAAATACAATCACCAGTTTTATCATCAATATCTAGAACCAACTGATGGGCCAATTTCACACATAAATGATCTGATCTTCCTAAGAAGAACAAAACTCCCAATAATCTTTTCATCAAAATCAAACTAGAACCGTAGCTTACAAACAATAACTAAAATTCGATATCAAAAGAGAAGAACTCATCACTTACCTCCAAACTTCAAAAACAATCCATAAAAAAGAAGCTAACGATTGAAGAAGCAAGATTTAACAATCTGAACTGTTGAAACAAGAAAAAAAAAGTCAACACAATAGTAAATCACCAACCATGCAAAAGATTAAAAAATACATATAAATTCTTGGATCCCAAATTCAGTACTTGAAACCTTGGATAGCCAAGAAATATCAGATACAAAAAAAGAAAGAAACCCAGAAATCCAAAAGAAAAAGTAAAGCCCAGAAGAATAAAGTTGGAGAGTAAAAAGGGAAAAAGAACATGGGTTATGGTTTACCAGGTCATCGGGTCTGTTCCAAATGGTTGAAAACGGAAGAAGTTAACTTGGCCGTCTAATTTCCAAGTTTTACTACTGAAGAGAGTGGAAATGGAAAGTCTCATCAAACTTTGTTTATTTATATCTAAATCTGAAAACATTTATTATTATATATGTTATTGCATTAAAATAACATGAAATAAAATGGAAGAGGAATGAGAATGAGGTTTGAACGTGTGTCTGGACATGATTGATTTGAAGGAAAACGCGTATGGCCGGATTTTGGGTTGTCTTCTATACCGGGGTTCTGGCTTGATTGTAGTATTAATTGAAAGCCTTGTGATTGGGTCCATTCTCTTTTTAGTTTAGATTTGGTTCAATCTATTCAAATTATTTTTTAATTAAAAATATAATTATATATTAGTATTACTCAATATAAATAAATTTAAATAAAAATATATATTAAATCATTTTGGTGAAATGGTATATTTCATGCTATGAAATATACACAGGAAAGTAATATCATTTGCCCACTCTCCCTAAACCTAATCGAAAGAAAAGAATACACATGATAATACCAAAAAGGAACATCAATACCAACAATCAGTTAGTCTAGTGGGATGAGACACTAGATTCCTTAAACAATGTCAGTGGTTTAAATCATATCGTTTGCGTATATAGCAAACTAGGTTAAGAGTGTCGTTCTCATAATGGATCTCTACAAAACCCAATCTAAATTAATTGGTCAATACACAAAAAATCAAGTGAACGATCCATCACAAACCACTCGAGCAAAACAAAACCTGAAATTAGAGATTAACTAAATCTGCCTGCAATAGCGACGTTGTCCAATATCAACTAGGTGCTTACATATGGGATGAATGTTTTTAATCTTATGAAACTTATGAAAATCAAATTTGAAGGTTTTTATAATTCCATTATATATTACTTAACCATGCTTACCTTTTTTTTAAATCTTAACCATGCATTATATACCAATAAACTTATGAAAATCAAATTTGAAAGTTTTTATAAATATGCATTATATATACTTAACCATGCTCAAATACTTTTTTTAATCTTAAAATTTTTAATAATTATAAAATAATTTATTAAAAATATTAAATTATACAAAATAATCACTGTACCATTATAATAAATATAAACTTTTTATAAATATAATAATCAATTATAATAATTAAATAATATTTAACATTTAAGTACTTTATGTATGCCACCTAACCCATGTACAATGTTTTTGGGTTTTTTCCCTTGTCATTTGATATTTATATATATAGATATTGGCATGTTTCCGTATATAATTTTATATTTAATAAATAAATGATTGTTCCTTTTTCTCATATGTATGGGGTAAGGGGAAGATAAGATAGTAGGCTACCCCCAACACCAGGTTAAGAATAGCTTCCGTAAGAGACCTCCGAATTATGAAATGCCTTCCGTGAGATTCGATCCCACGACCTCAAGGTTAAAAACCTTGTGCTCTACCAACTGAGCTGGATGGTCATTTCATTTTATATTTAATGATAAGTTTAATTTATAGATTTTAATAAAAAAAATGTATACATCATATGGAAATGTTACTTCTCAAAAAGGTGATCAACAAATAAATGTCAATTTACATTAAATAATCCCTGAACTTGCTTAAGTTGCAAAATTAAGCCTTTTGAGTAAATTTGATTTTACATCTCAGGGGTTTGAAAATCTCAATCCAACTGTTATTTGTCCTTTCCTTTTGGCATTAAATTTGATGGTGTTATGGTTCCTTTTATTAGTATGCTGACTCCACATTATCCCATTTCCGTATTGGCATGAATTCCCAGATCCATCTCTTCCAACCCGATATTGAACAAAGAAACCCCCCAAATTGAATCCCAAAATCATATGAACCCTAATGAAAAGGTTAGAGTACCTGCCCGGCCCGCCAGCTTCAAACCACCCAATCCAGTGGAAATTGGTCCCTGGACAAATGATGCCATCTGTAACTCATAAAACCGATGCAATAATTTTGCCAATTCAATTGAAGTACCAGTGGTATAAGTTAACTCTGCACAATATGTTTACAAGGGCAGGACCCATTCACCTTGCGCCTCTATTGCATGCGACATATATTAGCAAACCAGCAATCTAACTACGGAGAGATGCTCGAGAAACAGTAGGCAAACCGAGTTCATCAGCACCCATTTACCTGGGCAGCTGTTTTATGTCATGTGGGCGCTGCAGGCAAATCAAGCTCTGCATCCAAATCTGGTCCCTCTTTATCAGGTTGAAGATAAAGAGGGAACACCATCAGCTTCACAACCCATGTCAGCTTCCAGAGCATCAAGTTCTACAATCCAACATGCATCTGCATTAAAATTAAATGCTAAGGAAACAAATAAGCAACATGCGAAACACTCCCTAAATTTTTTTCAAACATGGAATTATAAGTGTAGGCCCTTACATCAAGGTTATGCCACTGATTATACGAGGTTGTATAATTTTTTCTATTAGGGAATAGTATTAATAATGAAGATAATAACAATAATTTCTATCAGTCTCATTCCATCCTTACGGGTAAAGCAAATCCACAACCTACTCTTATAACATACAAAAGTAACAACAAAATAAAATTTAACCGTCAAGCTGGTGACTTGAGATAGAAAACCGCCCATGAGTTTGTCCGTATCAATATCATCATGAACATTATAGCTTATACTCAAGGTCTCTTGGATCTCGTTACTCGAATACGTGACGGCATCTTGCAAGTTCTATAGATAAAAAAGAATCAAATGTCACAACTCACAAGAAAATAAATTCCTTATAGTGGAAACTGGCAAAGGGTATAAAGAGAGTACAGACATCTATGTCCTCAATCTTAACAGTCTTCATCATTCCTGTCAGCTCCTTGTTGGCAGATTTTAGGGCTGACATCAGGGAAAGACAAGAAACATTATTGGAAAAACTCATAAGGTGAAAAGGTTAATAAACAGGTTATGAAAAAATGTTTAAAGGCATCCATATCCTACCGGCTTGATGGATCCCCAATGAGTAGAAAGAACCCATGGTATATATTAATCATTAAGCACATATTCAATGAAGGAACCTCTCCCCAGCAACAAATGGTATATCTCCTACCTGTCATGAGGTAAGCAGCCGATTCCAAAAAGAGAACTGAAAAAGCTCCGACCGGATTGTCCTGATTCCTTCCCCTTTGGCTAGAAACACAAACGTTTTACCGTAAATATACCATATCCCCAATAAATCCACCATAGCATGGAAGCATGGAATAAAATATAGCAATGTCATGTTAAAGAAAAAAATATACATAGCAAGAAATGATCAAAGAACATATAGCAATGCTTCTTAAAAAGCATATATAGAGCAAGTATTGATCAAAGAACATATAGCAATGTCATGTTAAAGAAAAAAATATTAGCTATCACTTACAGCAAGTCTGTGACTGCATTCAGAAATAAAGAATGGAATTTATAACAAGGAAATTGAAAGCTATGACATACTGTTTGTGGAACATCCTTAAGACCCTCGGCTTGATCGAGGTTGAACATCTGATTGTAAAGGATATCACGTTGCCCTTCAAACCTATCAGAATCCATAGGCATCAGATGCAAAGGAATAGAAATAGAAATAGAAATATCACAATCTAAAGCTACAGATTTCAATTAACAAAAGAAAAAACAGCATAGAACAATTAAATAAGCATAAATATTGCCATAATGATACATAATGTCAAGCAAAAGAGTTTTCATACTACATTCGTAGAAACTAGACATGAATAAAGTTGGCAATAATAATGAGAAAAATTGAGGAGGAATCTAGCAGAAAAGAAGCACGTACACTCGTTTTTGCTTGAGAATCCTAATGGCTCGAGCTTTAATAGCCTCTTGAGCAGGGCCAGGTCTTGTCTTCCTTAGTTGTTCTTTGCACCTAATCAGCTCAGCATCCAGCTTCCTCAACTTCTCATCTACATTGTCCCCTCTTTTATTTATCTGGTCGCCAAATTACCATCACATCCATATTATTTCACAAGTTAAGAAAGCTTTTAAAACTAAACTGATCAATCAAACAGATAAACCCTAATGCTAAGTCAGAAATCGACAGATCAAACGAAAATTTTGAAAAAAAAATTCAAAAATTCAGAGCGAAGAGTAAAAGAGAAAGAGAAACCCTATCGGAGGCATCTTGAATAGACGGTGACGGTTCCTTTTCTTTCTTAACGCCGAAGACTCTCTTCATCTTCTTTACTTATGAGCGAAAGAGAGGAAAAGGCCTTAAAATTGATTTTGGAGGATTGGCGGCGAAGAATAAGAGCTGCTTTCAGAGATTGCTTTCCTTATCTCACAAGCAGTACGGCATACCCTTAATTTATCAGTTCTCATAACGCTCAATATAAAGTCTTTTCTAATTGAGATATTTAAAAAATTTCCCGTCAATTTAAATTTCTAATACTATTATTAGGTGGTGATGTATTTGTAGAGGTAAAAAGGTTTTTGGTATGTGGATTATATTTGTAAGTATCTGCAGTAGAAGAGGTGGATTAAAAGTTTGCAGTCTGTAAGAAAAAGACGGTTTGTTTTTTAACGTCTGCAGACTGTTAAAATAAACTGAAATATAAATAAACTGATTTTTTAAACTTAAAAGAGTTTTGCAATACTGAGATTTAAATAATTTTAGTTTTACAATACTGAAATTTAAATAATTCATACAACTACAATAATAATTTTTTTAGAAAAACAGTAGGGGTGTTTATTCGGTTAAAACGGTGGCCGACCGAACCGAATTAACCATAACCGAATTAACTAAACTTTTTTTTTCTTTAACCGTTAACCGAACCGAATTTTTTTTCAAACATATTAACCGAACCGAATAAATTTCGGTTAATTTCGAATTAACCGAATTTTTTTTTAAAATTTTCTAATTTATATAAAAATTAAATATTTTTTAATTCAAAAAAGTTTATAATTAATTTAAATAATATATAATTATAAAATAAAAATTTTAGATAAATTTTTTAATTAATTAATATTTATTTAAGTTTAAAAGTTATTGGATTTTAAATTATTAATTGGGTTTTAAATGGTTTGGGCTTAGCCCATATTTTTATATATAATATATTTAATATTTTTTAATTAAAAAACAGTTTACAATTAATTTAAATAATATATAATTATAAAATAAAAAATTTATATAATTTTTTAATTAATTAATATTAATTTAAGTTTAAAAGTTATTGGATCTTAAATTATTAATTGGGTTTTAAATGATTTGGGTTGAGCCCATATGTTATATATAATATATTTAATATTTAAAATTTAATTTCGGTTATTCGGTTAATTCGGTTAATTAACCAAATTCGAACCGAATTAACCGTTAACCGAATTCTAAAAATTTTCTTAACCGTTAACCGACCGAACTAATTCGGTAACCGAACCGAATTAACCGAACTAATTCGGTTCGGTCGGTTAACCGAATTAGTTCTGTTATTTGAACACCCCTAATCACCACCTTACTAATTCTATTATAAGTCTCACAAAATCACATGTATTATTAGTTTTATAAGTTTTATAGAATAAAATTTATAAATGACCATTAAATTATATGATTTTTTAAAATATACAATTATGTAATACTTTTAATTTTTTTAAATATATTCATAATTTATTTTTATAATTATATGATATTTTAAAAAAATATTTTTTAATTTATCAAATTATTTTATGATTATTTTTTATTTAATTGTGATTATATTTTAAAATTTTAAAAACATAATATATAATTTTTTATATTTTATATTTTAAAATCTTAATTATCAAACAATGAAATTATTTTTTTATTAAGTAATGTGATTTAAATGCTTACATTTTATATAAAAAGTTTAAATATAATTTAAAAATAACAAATCCAAAAAAAATATTATATTTAACTTAAATCAAAATAATTAAAATAAATATAAAATTTTAATAATATATAAAATAATTTATATGATATAAAATTAAATATCTATAATATAATATTAAAAATTAATATTTAATTTATTTAAAAAAAATTAATATTAATATCTATAATATAATATTAAAAAATTAATATTTAATTTATTTAAAACATTAATATTAAAATTAAAATCAAATATAATATAAAATTAAATATAAAACCTCTTTGAAGATGTTAGAATACGTCTGCAGACATAAGACCACGTCTGCGCCGCGCAGACCACATGCAGACGTTAGAAGAGCTTTTGTCTTCTAAAAAACAAACGGTCTGCGAAGCTCAATGCCTGCGTGTGGTCTACGCGACGCAGACATTCTAACGTCTGCGTGTGGTCTGCGCGGCGCAGACATAAGAGCTTTGCAGACCTTACACAGTAAAAACAAACATCACCTTAGTGTTATTATCGTAACAAATGTTAAAAAAAATATTATATAAAATATATTGCATTTATAAAATTTTATTTAATTTTTTTTTAAATATTATAATATTACTTATTTTTCTAAAATTATAGAAAAAATAAATTTCTAATCCTAATTCTATTATTCCTTGTACGAACTAAGTGATCTCGATAGTAACAAAATTATTGTTATTCTTTGAGGTCCCAGGTTTAAGCACTAATAATGTTAAGAGTATGAGCGTTTAATGTCAAATAATTGAGAGAAACTTTTAAACATATATTATCTCATATTTACCCCATATTAATAAAAAAAAAGAAATAATTCTATTTGTCACTCTTATCGTCATCCATTAAGGTGGTAATAAATTTAAACTTTTAAGATTTAGAGATTTTAGAAGATAAAAAGGCTAAAAATTATAGATTTAAAATTTAATTTTCTCCTTGTCTAAATGAAGGTTTAGCCGGTGATAACTACAACTGTGTTGAAGTTTCAATCATATAATTGTTCATCGACGAAAATGGGGTAAAGAGTTTATAATTAGAGTTTTCAAAGTTTTTGTTTTTTTAAGTTTTTTTATTTTTATTTTTTAAACTATAATTTTAAAAAATTTATTTTAAATATAAATTTTAAAATTATATAAACATATCACGTGTCATATAATAATTTTTTATGACTCTAATAAATAAGTCACCTAAATGATAATGTTGTTAATATTAAATACTTAAATTGACCAAAAAGATTAGACACTTAAATGAAAAAAAAGGATAAAATTTGGATGTTGTTTTTATATTAAGACTTCCAATAATAAGATCGTTTAATCTATTAATTATTACAATAAAGGCATACAAATGTAATTAAAATATTAAAGTTATTATGTATTTAATGATGAAACGATATATTTATAATAATAAACTAATTGACTAATTTATTTGTAATTTTTCAAATTTTATTGACTCATTTATAATCTTACTAATATTTTTAATATACTATGGTCAAAAAACTAATATTTATTGTATAAATTGCATTCTTTAGTACAAGTCAAGATTCCATTAATAAGAAGGGATTGAAGATTTTTTTTATTAATCCGGTAAGTATAAGGTAATATTTGTTTAAAAATAACTCTTAATCATTTGACACTAAACGTTCACATCTCTAATATTCCTGATGCTTAGGCATGTAAATGAACTGAACGTTCAACGAACCGTTCATGAATCGTGCGGCGGGAAGTTCGTTTATGTGCTTTTATTTATTAAATGAACGGACATGAACAAAATTTTGTGTTCGTTTAATTAAATGAACGAACATGAACATAGGTCTCGTTCGTTCATTTACGCTCGTGAACGTTCGGTTATGTTCGTTCATTTATGTTTAACCCAATCTTCTTAAATCAATTTTAGTGATCAATTTGTAAGTATCTTAAAAATATTAATTAATCTAATATTCTGATGACCAACTCCATAATTAACCCAATTTTATTTGGAGATTATATCCAATTGTGGAGTAGACTTTAGGTACGTTAAAATTTTGAATGGTGGTTTAGCAATAATATCAATTAGATATGTAGCATCGGAGGGATTTTAGATCTATGTTATTGCCTTGTAATCCAATTTGTACCGTTCGAAATCTTCATTCTGTTAAATTTTCTACTCTGACAATGGAAAAGATCGTTATTAACAAATCTCACTAAAGTCTGACAATGATGTCACAAAACTTTTAACCGACGAATTTATTAGAATAATGTAGTGGAAAATTATTGTTCATATGTAATCATGGACCACTAAGATAAATGTTATAGAGTTAAATTAAAGTCGTGTGAATCATTTAATATCTTTAAAAGATCGATCAAAATATCTGATATCTTCAAACATTTCATCACTGCTAGCTCTTACGCTATTTATCACTGTAGATTTGGTTGATTTGCATTGTCGACTATTTTTCATGAAAGAACAATGGAAGGTAGGGTCTCCAACGTTTATGTTCGTTTATGTTCGTGTTCATTTATGTTCGTGTTCGTTTATGTTCGTTCATTTATTAAGTGAACGAACATGAACAAGCTATATTCCTTAATGAACGAACATGAACAAAAAAAATTTTGTTCGTTTATGTTCGTGATTTATTAAATAAACGAACATGAACATACCTCTGATTGTGTGCGTTCGATTCATTTACAGGCCTACTGATGCTCGAACCCTGGATCTCAAGGAATAACAATAATTTTTTTATTACTGAGATGGTTTGGTTCGTACCAATCGAAGAAAACTTGAGCCTAATTTCTGTAATGATAAATATAAGCGCAAGTGAGGGGTTTTTTAATGTATATATAGAGAGAGACGCATTTGTACATTGATAGATCTTTAATTATTTCATAAAATTTGATCTCTCCTCTAAAATAATTATGTAATTAAAAAAATATGAACTAAAATAGAGAAATATATTTTATTATAGATATTAATTTTTATTTAGATTAAAAATATATATTTTTATTTTCAACTCAAAATCAGATAATCTAATACTTATTTCTAAATATATTAAGCGAACAAGCTCATTAATTTTATTTTAATAATTTAATATTTCTATTTATAGGTGCGATTTTGTAATATGGTATGTTTTATTAAAAATTAAAAATTAAAATATTATTAGAGTAAATCATACGTTTAGTACTTCAACTATTACTTTTGTTTTATTTTGTTCACCCAATTATTTATTTTTAAAATCGTGTCTTACATTTAGTTTTAGTTTCATTTTGGTTACATATCGTTAAAAAGTTAACGGTGATGTTGGCATGTTAACATAAGGTAAAGTCATGTTATCATTGAAAAATGAAAAAAATCACGTCAATAATTTGATTAATTTTTTAATGATGTGCGATCAAAATGAAAAAAAATGTAGTGATATGCATGATTTGGAGAAAGACTACAAGTGAGAATATTAATGATATTAATTACACTTAGAAACAAGATCAATTAGGGTGACATAAAAATAGCTTTGGTTGATGCTCGTGAAACAATTAGGACATCGAGTTCCTTTAGAAAATGCTAGCATTATCGAAGTATATATTCAGTCCGGATATATCCTTTGGTCCGACACTCAATGAGTGGGATAGTCGAGGAGGCTGACCGATGCAGAGATTTTGGGTAACCAGCCTCGATAAACCAGAGGGGTGTGTGAGCTCCGAGATGCAGAACCCTCAGTCGCACTATGATGTCTACCATAGAGTAGAGAGTACAGTGTACAAGTATACTCACTATTTCAGTTTATTAGTTAGTGTGAACATAACATTAACATTTTTAGTATGGTTTAGTTGTTAGTGTGGCACTGAGATAGTTAGCTCAGCGTTTGGAATTTGTTTCCTTACGCAGGTTAGTCTAGGAGTAGTCCGAGGACTTTTTGGCAGCAGTGATCCAAACCCAGATAGTGCAAAGTACATATCGAGTTCATCTTTAGAAGGCATGTATAATTGTAAATCCCAATTTGTATATTTTTGTATGAGTCGTAACTCATTTTAAACTATGGTCTGTATGATTTAAATATTATTTTGGAAGCTCCTAATGTAAATTATTTTTATTTAAATTGTAGTTGATTTATTTTAGCATGAGTGGTTACAAATGATCATTTTAAAAGAAAATCTTAGTTAGCCACGTCGGTGGTTTCGTGTGGCATTCTGATCGATCGATTGTGTGTCGTACTGGTTTAGGGTGTTACATATATGACATAGGCTTTCAACTTTTTCATAACTCATATGGTATCTTGTCATTGTCCTTTGACCTTAATTAAAAGGTAATTAGTTGACATAACAAATTCTCTCTCCCCCACATATTTTGTGACAACTCAAAACTTCTTAGCATTGCTTTCATTATTCAATTCTTCCGCTTTGCTACTCCATTTATTTAGAAGAATATAGTGATGACACTTCATGAGTAATATCATATTGTGAAAACTTCTTATCATCTTAATATATTTATTAAGTTGGTTTTCAACTTCATGTTTATAGAAAATAAATTTTTTCTATAACTTCGTTTTGCTCTTTTAGCAAATAAACGTAGCAATACTTTTGCTATCATCAATGGAGGTTATAAAGCATTTATTCTCTCTCGTCTGTGCCATTATTACGAAGTTTAAGAACTTGGTCACAATAATTCATTAGTACCAGCATCTTCCTTTTTATATCTATGGTTCAATTGTACACCTTATATTGTGTATCCGATAATACATTCAAGATGTATTTCCAACATAGGAAGTCATAATACTTCCAAGATCCGGTAACAACATTTACCTCATCCTTTCTAATAATAGAAGGATCATCTCACATTTGGTCAAATTCACCATGACCAAATAAATTAACATCTTATGTTATCACATCTTGAAATTCTATTCATAGATTTTTACATATTTCTCGTCGTGGCTTACGATCACCGACAATCACGATTTCGTTTAACACATGAAACTAGAATTAATAATAATTCCAACAATAAATCAAAATTAAATTTTGATTTATACTATCAATATAATTTAATCATGAACTAAAATTCTGAAACAAATCATTAACACGGTTGTTACTTTCCAACGATTTCTATAGAAATCAAATAATTCTGTTACACGACAAAATTAAATCCTAATTGATTTCAATAAACAAAAAATTAATTATTGTTTATTTCCTATTTTGTTATCGGACATAATCAAATATTCTGAAACAAAATCAGTAATCAAAGTTACTTCCACGACAATTTCTGTTATACATATTTGTCCACTTTGAGATTTTAGTAAACCCATTAAGACAGCAAGATAAATTCTGAAATAAATTTATTTGTTATCTCATTTTCTCATGATACCTGAGACGTTTCATATTTAAAGAAAGGTATAAGAAAATGTTTCGAATCGTTTCGAATTAAAGGAAAATATTCAAATTTTACATACCTGATTAACTTCATCGTTGTTAATAAAAACTTCAACCATCATGATTCACGCTCTTTAGAATCGTACACAAAATTTATTGAAGGTGCAACATGTCCCGCTCTTTATCACGCTTATCGTATCATAAGTAGGGACGTAGCTTGCGTTGAACAGTAGTAGCAGATTGTTGAGTTCACAACCTATGCACCAAATCTAGCAAGTTGTTAAAAAACCAGAAATGCAATCATATTGGCAACAACATGTTTAAAGTAATTTAAAAATTAACATGAATGCCATAAACATAATTATAACCTGCGATAAGTTTCACAAGCTTACGGTGAAGTAACACGGTAGACATAAATTGAATTTGTTCATCTCGAATTAAAAATTTAAATATGTCTTAAGATTGTTAGAAAACACACACATTAATCCGAGAATGATATAGAAAAATAATAATGATAATAAAATAAATATCATTATAAAATTAAAGGGAATGAAGGGATAAGAGATAGAACGAGTTTACTCTTATCTTGAGATTATTATTCAAAATAACAATTTGAGACAAAATCAATCATGAGAAAATAAACAAAAATAATTAACTTCTTAGAAGACAAGATAAAATAGATGGAAATAAAATACTCCTTTTATTTTGATATATCGATCGGAAACAGTTAAGGTCTGTTGCTACACAGTTTGCTTAAGATAGATTTTCGGTCACTCTTTTAGTGCTAGAGTTCGTTGGTCGTTTGTCTCCCATGATACAACAACTAATGATCAGCTACAATAGCATATTTGCACAGATCACGAACGATTCTTGCCTTCGACTATCACAGAAAAAACTAAGGAAGATAAAACTTTTTTAAGATAAGAGAAGTTCTTGAAAAACTGAGTTGTGAGATATGAAAAACCTAACATGTTTGCTCACTAATTATAGGGGATTTTCGAAAGATATTTAATCCAACCATATATTTTTTAATATTAAACATTAAACATATAACAATATCTTTTAATTTTAAATATTTAAAAGATAAAACTCCTTTTACCATTCAAACTTAAATATATATTATTTTAATTTGAAACATACAAAAGTATATAATTATCTTTAACATTCAAAGTTAAAAAAGATAATAAATATCTTTTTAAATTGACACATTCAAAGAGTAATTATCCTACTAATAATCAAATTAAATAATATATTTAATTTAGAATGGTCAAAAGGTAAATTCCTTTTACTATTCAAACTTAAACATATATTATTTTAATTTGAAATATATAAAAGTATATAATTATCTTTTAATATTTAAAATTAAAAATATAACAAATACCTTTTTAAATTAACTTATTAAAAGAGTAATTATCCTATTAATATTCAAATTAAAAATCATCTTTTATTTTGCAATAGTCAAAAGAACTATAAATTTAATATAAATATTAAATCGATCAATTAAATTCACCATTTTCCCAATTGATCCTCTTTGGCATCCAAAGCTTTTTTGACCCAACGTTCTCATGAAAGCTACATCGAGATCTTATCCGACGCGCCATATTTGCATAACTGGTACGTCACCCGAGGCGACGGCTCGATGTTGCCGGAAATACTGTACAATAAATTCCGAGTCGGGTCCCAGTTTTTCGTGCTGGCGAAACAACATGCTTTTCTTGTGTTGAAAGAAAGGAAATTTTGGAGGAAGTTTAAGCTTCCTTGTTTAGATTTAGATTCGTGTTACCCTGAAGAACATTATTTCCCTACGTTGTTATCAATGGAGGATCCCACAGGGAGCAGCCATTACACGTTAACTAGAGTTAACTGGACTGACAGTGTTGATGGCCATCCACATACATACAATTCGTCGGAGATCTCGCCGGAGCTTGTACATACGTTGAGGAAATCGAATTCGAGTTCGAATTACTCGTATTACTTCGCTCAGAAGTTCTCGCCCGATTGCTTGAAGCCGTTGATGGAAATCGCCAACGATATTTTCAGGGATTGAACTGGATTTGGTATGCTCCTTAATCTCTTGCAAAGATAATTTTTTATTTGTTGTCTGTTTTGTTGGTAAGTGTCATAATCATTTTTAAGTAAAATAATTAAATATTATTTTTTAAAAACGATTATGACTTTAATTTAGAAAAATTGGGGAATTTGGAATTAATTTGGAATAATTTGAATAGAGTCGCCATCGACCTTTAGGTTAGGTAGGTCGAATACCTAAAAACGTCTTTTAAAACAATCTTTAAAAAATCATTTTATAAGACAAAATTTGGTATGCGTCACCAAAGATTCGATTAAATGGATTCGGGAATCGGTTACGTGTAGGGAAGGATTAACACCCCACAACGCCCAAAAACTGGTACTGTGTCGCTTACACATTGTCGTAATGGTAGAAATTACAAATCGAATATAAAATTAAGATGTGATCCATTTATTGAAATTTAATCAATTTGCTTTGAATAAATTAATTACAGAAAATTCTTTAACTCGAAAAGAAATATCGAAATTAGTAATCCTCCATCAGGAAAGCTAACTCGACTATTTCTAGTTAATAAAAGAATATTCCCTCATTGATAAATATGCAAATCGAATATAAATGAAATTAACGTTTGCATTCAAATAAAAATGAAATAAATACTGAATTAAAAAACACACATTGCATTATTAAAATAAATTAATTAGTAAAATATACTCGACTTGTTGCAAGTTCCTATGTCGTTAAAATGCCGTATCGGATCGTACCACTTCGACCAAGTGGTACTTTCCACGCCCATTCTACGCATACGTGTTCTTGAAAATATAATCGAATATTTCATACATAGATAAAAATATAATGAAAATAAATGTAATTGGAAATACAAAAATAAAATATTTACATTACTAAAAAACATTATTTACATAATACAAATAACCGAATAACAAGTACAATAAAATCATACATAAATGACTAAAATAAAATATTCACAAATATCAGGGATAAATTCGAACATCTACCAAAATACCTATCATATGAAATCAGAGACTAAAACGAAACTATTACAAACATTGGGTCTAAAGTCAAATATCCACAAAATGACATAACATACATTAATAGGGCTAAAATAGAATACATAAACATAATGGATTAAATTAGTAAAAGCATAAACTAACAGGGCTAAAAAGTAATTACCATAGTTCAAATTGCACATATTAAATAATACAGGTGTTAAAAATGAAAATAGCCCATAAATATTGTTAGTGACCAAAATGAGATAAACAGAAAGATAAAGGATCAAACTATACTTAAACCAAAAGCCCAACAATTATTAAAATAAAAATCCTACAAAAGACATGGCCAAATTAAAACATCAAAGAAAATACACCATATATAAAATTAGTGACTAAAATGAAATAAATCACAAATCAGGGCTCAAAACAAAGTATTTGCCCAAAGCACACTAGTGATCAAATAGGGATCAAAATGAAAAGGTATAAAATATCAACTCCAAAATAGAATAAATATAAATCATTAATTGATGACCAAAATGAAAACTACATGAAATTAACAGCTAGATATATAAACATTTAAAAGACATAATACAGGACTAAAATGAATTAAAACAAAACATTAAGACCGACTAATAATTAAACCAAAAGTGAAGCAGTGACTAAAATAAAATGTTTAGAAATGATATGACCAGATTCAAATGTCAACAAAAATACACAACACAAGCTACCAGTGACTAAAATAAAATAACTAAAAAACATTGATACTAAAGTAAAACATACATAAACATGACAAAGTAAACAAACTAGTGACTGAAATACAAATATTGTAAAATACACGTCTGAAACAGAATATTAGAAATTTCATTTAATGATTAAACAAACAGATTACAAAATATGGGGGACCAAACATGTAGTTAACCCACAATCCGAAAACACGCATAAGGTCCCCATAGAACGACGTCGTTCGACTGTGTGGTCATAAACCATATTTAGGGTTCTAAACCCTAATCCCTCATTATTTTCTTCATCTCTCAGCCGCTCAACCCTCCCCTCTATAACCTTCCCCTTCTCCACTATCGCAGAGAAAAATAACCCTCACCCCGGCCACCGTAAATCGGTGGCCACGGGGATTCAAACTGAACAATGGCCCACCCCTTTCTCTCTTTCTCCTCTACCTTCCTAGAACAAACCTAGAAACCGAGTCCTCCACCCAACTCGATTACACAAAACATTTACCTTTAAAACAGAAAGGCTTGTTGGTCCGGTGAAGCCGCACAACTGCAGTGGTGTCTCGTGTGAGGAAACGGTAGTGGCCGATGTACCAAAGGTGAGAGCTTTTCCTTTTTCATTCTTTGTTTTTTTCGGTATTTTTCCATTTTTTTCTTGAAAACCCGAATGCCTCCCTAAAATGGTTGCCTCTTCTCCTTTTTGTTGTGGTTGCTGAATGATGATATCTAGAACTTAGGGAAATTATGGGTTGATTTGGTAGCTGGTGAAATCCTGAATTTTCGGGATTTATTTCGTTTTTAAATAGGTTTTCAATTTAGGTTTACTATTGCTCTGATTTGGTTGAGAAACCGGTCAGTGTTGATAGATTTACCATCACTGTTTGGTTCAGGATTGTCGGTAATGGCTTGAGGAGTTAACGGCGTCAGCTCACGCGTGCGGCTGTGGAAGTTGGAAGGCCAAGCGGTGACGGTTGGAGCCGAATAGTCACTGGCTGCTGTAGTTTTAGGGTTAGGGGATTAAGATAAAAACTCTAATCTATTTAGGGTTTAGTTAGGCTGGATGTATTGGTGGGCTTAATAGCCTGCATCAAAATATAAATATTTGTATTAATATAATAATAATAATAAATAATAATAATAATAAAATTAAAATAAATAAAAAGAGGACCCGGACAAAAACGGGTGTCTACAGCTGCCCCTCTTTGCACATTCTTATGTTAACAAGAATAGGGCAAAGACGATAAGACAACACGTTTTTGTCTGGTTCTCTTCCTTCTATGCTTAGAAATTGGATAATGTTGGTTGTTGGGGACGACACTGCTCATACGCGATGAAGAGATCTGGTCAGGGGATGACACTGCTCATACGTGATGAAGAGTTCTGGCCATCTTTAGGTAGGGCGATAACACGGTTCCTACGTGATGAGGACGACTGGTTATCTATGGTTGACACAGTTCCTACGTGATGAGGAGATCAGGTCGAGGGATGACATTACTCATACGTGATGAAGAGTTCTGGCCATCTTTAGGAAGGGCGATAACACGGTTCCTACGTGATGAGGACGTCTGGTTATCTAGGGGTGATACGGCTCCTACGTGGTGAAGAGATCTGGTCGGGGAATGACACGGCTCATACGTGATGAATAGTTATGGCCATCTAAAGGTGATAACACAGTTCCTACGTGATGAGGACGGCTGGTTATCTAGGGTGACACGGCTCATACGTGATGAAGAGATCTGGTTGGGGAATGACACGGCTCATACGTGATGAAGAGTTCTGGCCATCTAAAGGTGATAACACGGTTCCTACGTGATGAGGACGGCTGGTTATCTATGGTTGACACGGCTCCTACGTGATGAGGAGATCTGGTCTGGGGATGACACGGTTCCTACATGATGAGGACAGCTGGCCATCTTTAGGAGTTATGGTTTCAAGAGAAACCAAATTAAAGATTTGTTTCGAAAGAAACAAACCCAAAGATTTGTTTCAAGAAAAATAAACTCAAAGATGATATTTTTAAAAGCAACTGTCTCAAAAGAGACAAAATTCGTTTTAAGGGAAACGACTCAAAGACGACGTTTAAAGGGAAACTGTCTCAAATGAGACAAAATTCATTTCAAGGGAAACGATCTCAAAGATGTTTGTTTGTTTCAAGGGAAACAGATTCAAAGATGATAAATTTTGTTTTCCAAAGAAATAAACTCAAAGATTTTTCTCAAAAGAAATTGTCTCGAGAGAAACAAAATTTCGTTTCCAAAGGAAGAGATTCAATGATTTTTTTTTTTAAAAAAAAACATTGTCATAAGAGACAAAACTTTGTTTTTTCATAAAATTGTATCTTAGTGAGACAAAATTTTGTTTCCAAAGAAACAGACTCAGATTTTTCTTCAAAAGAAACTGTTTTAAGGGATAAAACCTTGTTTCCAGAGAAACAAACTCAAAGATGATCTTGTTTTAAGAGAAAATGTTTTAAGAGACAAAATTCGTTTCAAAGGAAACGACTCAAATAGGATATTGAAAGGAAACTGTCTCATGTGAGATAGAATTTGTTTTAATAGAAACGATCTCAAAGATGTTTTTTTTTTCAAAAGAAGTTGTCTCGAGAGACAAAATTTTGTTTCAAAGGAAACAAACTCAAAGATTTTTTCAAAAGAAATTGTCTTTAAGAGATAAAATTTTGTTTCAAAAGAAACAGACTCAAAGATGGATCACATCTTAAGTGAGACCAACTTTGTTTCAAATGAAACAATCTCAAAAGTTAGTTTTTCATTAGAAACTGTCTCAAGAGAGACAACATTTGTTTTTAAAGAAATAGACTCAAAGATGATTTTGTTAAGAGAAACAAACTCAAAGATTTTCAAAATGAACATATTCAATGATTTACTTCAAAAGAAACGGTCTCAAGAGATACAAAATTCATTTTAAGAGAAACAGATTCAAAGATTTTTGTTTCAAAAGAAATTATCTTAAGAGAGACAAAATTTTGTTTCCAAAGAAACAGACTCAAAGATTTTTGTTTCAAAAGAAACAATCTCAAAGATTTTTTTTCCGCAAAATTGTCTCAAGAGAGACAAAACTTTGTTTCAGACTCAAAGATTTTTCACGAAATTGTCTCAAATGAGACAAAACTTCGTTTCAAAATAAATAGACTCAAAGATTTTTTCAAAAGAAACAACTCAAAGATTTTTATTCAAAAGGAACAAACTCCAAGATTTTTATTCAAAAAGAACAAACTCAAAGATTTTTTCAAGAGGAACAAACTCAAAGATTTTTTCCTCAAAAGAAATTGTCTT